AAGACTATTGATAATCTTTCATTGCGCAAAGGGTATGGCTCCAATACAGAGTGGCACAAAGCACTTATGCGCATCCCGTGTGCAGAATGATGCGCTTAAAGCAACACGGAGTCACAGCGTGCAGAGCTCCGCATAAAAAAAGGAAGAGATATTGATGCGTAGTGTATTATATCTGTGCGATATTTTATTAAGCCTTCTCTTTTACCAGTTTTAAATCTCAGTTATTGTGCTCTCTTGAAGAGAGTTTCATCATTTTGACTGTAGTAACCGAATGCGACATGCAGTTTGAATGTTGAATGGAGGATGAGTGTCTGTTCTTTTACTGAACTAAATGATTTTTATTTCGATAAAAAAATCAAAACGACGGTGGGGGTCGGTGACGCTGTGGGCAAGTGACGTAACCGGTGTTGCGGCTTAACACCGGTATAACCGTTAGCACCGTCTATCGCGGCAAGCCTAACAGACAGACGTGCAGAGTTTACGTCAACTTGACTTAAATATTCACCTAGGCCTATACTTTACATTAAACTATGGAACGGCTTCAGAACACTTGAAATATAGTGCACGAAAACGTTATGGTGCTTTATAATGTTTTTGTGCCTTTCGTGGGGCTTAACAATAACACAGAATAGTATACGCACTATATCGGATTTGGATCGGTCTTGTCTGACCGATACCCTATCCGACAGAAAATGGCAGTATCGGAGCCGATAACGATACTGAATATCGGATCGATGCATCCCTAGTTCTGATAGCTTGTGATTTTGTTTTATGTTTCAGGGCTTTTTCACTTTTAGTGCTAACAGAAAAATTACCTAAAGTAGTCACCTAAAAATTACCAAAAAATACCTGGAAAGCAGTTACATCATGTCTGGTTGGGACTACTTACTAGCATTCTACTACCGTTTAGAAGTTTGAGGTCAGTAAGGTTCTTTTGATAGTTTTTATTTTAGTTAAAAAAATTTTTTAAGTCTCTCATGCTCATGAATGCTGCATTTACTTGATCAAAAATACAGTAAAAACAGAAATTGTGAAATATTATAACAATTTAAAATAACTGTTTTCTACTTCAATATATTTGAAAAAATTGTATTCCTGTGATGGCAAAGCTTAATTTTCAGCAGCCATTACACCAGTCTTCAGAAATCATTCTAATATGCTGGTTTGATTTGATCTAATATGCTGAATTATTGCATTATTACCAAAGCTGAAAACAGTTTTGCTTCTTATTGCAAAAACCTATTATTGTTAAAAAAAAAAAAATTCACAATGAACAAAGATTAAGAACAGCATTTATTTGAAATATAAATATTTTGTAACATTATAGTTGATTTACAGTCACTTTTGAATTTAATGTGTCCTTACTGCATAAAGGTATTATACTGGTGAGCATATAATATATATATATATATATATATATATATATATATTACATTTAATTTAAATCTTAATAATCTAAAACTTTTGAACGGTGAAGTAGGATTTAAAAAACAAAACAAAGGCAATCATAGTTCAGCTCTTGAAATCCCTATTTTCCACTTCATATTTTATCTAATACGCTACTCCAACTGCACAAGAACTTCAAACACTGTGAAATGTCTGAACAACATCTTGCTCCATCAAAACAGCAAATAACACATCTGTTGGCAATCTTCAAATGCAATAAAATTAGTGAGCCCTTCCTTTAGTTGTGTTAGCATCCAAAACACCAATCATTTCAAATTTATATTCACAGATATTTCTGGAAAAAAAAAAAATTTGCCTTTATACAGAAACCTAAAATCACCCTTGATCTTGACAATCACAGCAAGGGTTATAATGCCCAATGAGAACGCAAGAAGTACTGATAGAAGGAATAACATGAGGGGCATCTTTTTCCCACACGCACTTTGAATCATCTCAGCAGGGCTTCAGTGTTTCTATAGGTGAAGCCATACACTCATTGCAACAGAAACCCTCCCACTGCTTCAGCTGTAGGATTGTGTTTTGTTTGGAGACCTTTTTGGTGGTTCATTAGATCTTAAGAGGATGGCCTCCAAGAACTTTTTCGCTTGGGATGACTGTCCTGCTGAAGCCAAGGATCGAGAGCAGGCCAAACAGGCTGTAATTCTTATTGCATAAGTCCCGTTCCCTGAACACTGCATTTGTGATAAATAGTTTAAGACGACATTTTTTCACAAACGGAAAAAGAAGAAAGTAAAGGAAAATGTCTTGCTCTGCATCAAAATCACTGTAAGATTTTCTTACCTCAACACGTCTACAAGCTCCTGATTTTTTTCCTGGCCTTTTTCACACAGTCTGCATCAATTCATCTAAGCAAATATGGAAACAGACAATCTGTTTCCAACTACATCAATTAATCCTCTGGTGGTATTCTGTCATTTTAGACAGAAAAAAAATTAAGAAATTACATTTTGAATTTAACATTTTGTTTTAAATTGGAAAGGTACGAATCTTGGTGACTCAACCCTTGAATCATAACCAGTTATAATTCGTCATAAATATTTCCCTTTTGAGCTTGAAATTACTACAATGTGTGTGTGTATATATGTGTGTATATGTGTGTGTATATGTGTATATGTGTGTGTGTAAGTAAACAAAAAAATTTACTAGCCAATGGCGATTCAATTGCCAAGGTGTTCGTAGAGGGCTGTGACTTGGCACTTGCAATATGAACATATAATCGTGGATTGATTGGAAAAGGCAAAATGGTATTAAAAAATTAATCTGTGAACTCTGATACAGGAAATGAATGGGAAATATGAAAAAAATTAAATACAAAGCAATTTTGGGTTAACAAAGTAGGCTTTGATAATGTCTACATATTAGGGATGGGAAGATTCCCCGATTCGCTCGGTGCATCGGCATAAAATATTAACGATGCGATGCATCGGTTTAAAAAGTGTGCATCGGATACAAGTTGGCATTTGTAT